CATTATCTGTATTCAGTTTGATTAGGCATAGATTTGCGCATTTTATTTTATTTTGCTTGGTGACTTACTTTGTTCTGTCTGTTACTACTTGGAACCACTTAAATCCTACTGTCTGTATTTAATAAAATCACTTTTTATTTAGTAATTTACTCAGAGTATGTATTAATACCTGGGGGAGCAAACAACTGTGCATATCTCTCTATCAGTGTTATAGAGGGTGGACAATTTGAGTTTGCCCTGCATAAGCTTTATGCAGGGTAAAACTGATTTATCTGGGTTTAGACCCCATTGGGAGTTGGGCATCTGAGTTCTAGAGACAAGCACACTTCTGTGAGCTGTTTTCAGGTAAACTTGCAGCTTTGGGGCAAGTGATTCAGACCCTGGGTCCATGTTGGAGCAGACGGGAGTGTCTGGCTCAGCAAGACAGGGTGCTGGAGTCCTGAGCTGGCAGGGAAAACAGGAGCAGGGGTAGTCTTTTGCACATCAGGTGGCAGCTCCCAAGGGGGTTTCTGTGATCCAACCCATCACACTGTTACAAACAGGAAAGAAGATATGATCCCTATCTCAGAATTTTGCATGCTCACTCTTCTCTCCCCCACCCCACCCAAACAAGACAAAAAAAAAAAAAAAAGACCCTATCCGCACGTGACCCATAATCAGCCAGTTAGTTTCTTGTACAAGTGGGTCTTCAGCAGGAAGGATCCTGTGCTTGCAGGCATTCTGCTCATAGGAAGGTGCTATGTAAGTGAGAACTAAAAGATCATTACACTTTTCATTTCGAAGTAGCTTTCTCTGGTACTGTAAGATGCTCACTATGTATTTCTCTCTATAGCCCTGATCTTGCAAAGATTTACAGGTTTCAGAGTAGCAGCTGTGTTAGTCTGTATCTGCAAAAAGAACAAGAGTACTTGTGGCACCTTAGAGACTAACAAATTTATTAGAGCAAAAGCTTTCGTCGGCAGCATAAAACATCTTGGGATGCATATAAAGTGGAACATATATTGAGGAGATATATACACACATA